GTCGCCAAAGAAGTTGCTTGCTGAAGATCCTATTATAATTACATTATAAAACTTCACATTGCTGTTTTTCGGAGGGGAAACGGATTAATTTTATTTCCATCATTTTAAATGTTGTGCAAGACAAGCGTTTTACATGACGAGCTCGGTGCCTGAATAAATTTAAGTCGTTGCCCAGGCATCCACTGTTCGCATGCATATCCGTTCAATTTTATCCATTTAAGGCTTGAACAATGGGAAGTCGACTAAGGTCACCGAAACGGCAGCGGTACAATACACATGTGTCAGTGAGGCTTTCTCCTTCGCAAATACGAACGAAGGGCAAACGAATGCTACTTACTCTTTATCAGGGCATTTGTCGTCAACAGTACCGTGAAATGATGAAGGTAAATTGGCTGCCGCTTACCTGGCATGTGCGGTTACGGTAAAGGGTTCATTGAAACTCCATTGCTTAGTTGGCCCTATGAATTCGTAATTGTGTGTTCTAGTTAGCACGCATGAAACTACTTGGAACAGATAGTTTAGGAACGGTGACATCGCTCTATCGCGTCGAAGCTGACTGAAAAGCTCTCATTATATTGAAAGCAGCAACAACAAAGTATTATTTGCATATTTAGCCGTAGCTCACGATTATTCTACGGCCACTAAATTGGAAGCATTATTAGGTCATTAAAATATATTACTTTCTTAGTTTTAGTAGCAAGGATAATCTAACACTTCCATTGTCAGCAAATCATCGGTTTCCGATGTTAATTTAAATATTTCCTCTCTGTAAATGCTATCAGGGCCACTCGAAGGCTATCAATGAAATTGAGCACAGTAGTCGCAGCGAACTGATATTCGGTAAATTGTTGCCCCTCTGCCATTCGATTAACACATTACATCTTCGTATCCACAACTACGTTGCTACCACATATTGTCATTCAATTTTTTCTAGAAGCATGTATAACAGAGTACATTCTTGGTGATGGGAATTGCATGTCTTATATGTTGTCGTGTGATTATGGGAAAAGTCGCCTGGGTAGTGAATGGTCTATCACAGTCCAGCATTTCCCTCATGTCTAAGTATACCGTCAACCGGCAAAAAATAAAAGATACTAAAACTTCATCACCAATTTAACCATTGCATCTGCTCGTGAGTATGTGGCTTGCTAACTTTCTGAGATTAATGCGAATATTGATCTGTAACTTTTTGACAGTGCTGAGGTATTCATGTGGTAAATTCTCCCAATCACCTCTACGCATTCCAACTTTCCTTAAAACAAAAATAATTTGGCTCTCGCAATTTATTTGTCGTATCAGTCTGAGAATAGCACATTCCTGCATCCCCCTTTTGCAGATAGGATCGTTTCGGTGGAACTACGCCTAAAGAAAGTATCGCTTTCGTCTCCCATTGCTGGATAATTTCTCGGCCAGCAGATCTCAAATTCTTGGAAATTATCTTTAAGTCACTCTGACGAATGTACCTTTTCTTATCCTCCCAATAACCGTGACGGTCGTCATAATGCTACCATATTTCAAGAATATTTGCTCACGGTAACTTTGGATCCATCATTGGTATATCTGATGATAACGACATTAATAATAATTCCATAAAAGATTACTTCCTTGAGCATGGACTGAGGTGACGCTTATTTGGGAAGTCGGTAGAATTGTCCGAAATTAATTTAACACTTGAAGAACAGCAATTACTTAGGCCTATTTCATACCGCATCTCACCCCGAATACCACGCGGCCTCACACTCTTCTTAACAAAGTTCATATTTCAATATTATTTAACCTGTCATTTGTAGTCTGCCACCAATTCATGTTGTCTTTTTACTTTGATAGGACGGAGGAGTTAACTAAGCGTATTTGACCTATTCGCTGATATCCTTTACCAGAACGCGCCGCAGTCGATAAATTCTGACCTACTGCTAGCGAAGCTCCGCTGCCCAATGAAACGCGAGTGAGGGCGGATGCTTTGTCAAGCTTCTTATTATCTAACCCTCATCTTCACATTAATTTCCGCTTTCCTCTTTAACACAATTAAACAATTTGAAAACCAATATGTTTTATTAATTGAATAGGGGTCGCCAATATCCGGTTTATTCGTGCGACTGAAAATTTGGATTTACTTTTAAAATTGTTTTTCGGTATGCCATGGTTGTGTCTTTCCCTCTTTCTGATCTCAGAGATGATCTGGTCATTTTCTTCTACTGAAGTGAACCTGTTTCGACTATACCGAAGACTGGGGAAAAAGCTTATGGGCAGTCGAATGAATTCATCTCTCCGAGTACATTCTGCAGCTGCATTGAATCAACTGCCCTCCTGAACGCTGGACTGGTGGCCAAGCATAATAAATGACCGTTCCGAGGGCCAATTAACAGACTTAAACATAAGTCACTCCTTGCAGGCAAGTTACAATTTTGATTTTTTATGATGCAGGGCTGCAAATGGGACCCAGAACTCCAGAAATGGAGTCCAACCTGCCTACCAAATTTCATAATCCGATTGCCAGACTTTGCATACCTGGTTCCCGCCAAACACACCCCGATTGGTTACTGTTCAGATCCTGCCTCATATACTCCTGCAAATGATGAATGCCTAGCCAGTTCGGAGGCGCAGACGTTAAATCTCGAAGTCCCAGCTTTCGCTATCCCTCTCACTTCACTTGTAGGCCCCAAGTAGGTGCATAGATGCATCTGTGTGGGTCATGCTCGTCTAATGTTTGGCCCCCTGCCGCCTAACAACCTGGACCAGCGCTCACTGATCTCGTCGCCGATGTTAGTTACATAAGTTGCAGAGTGTCCTCAATACTCATTAAAATGCAATTAGCAACAGTCCGATGAGGCTGCTACACGACGATACTGTTCGCGGCGACGGACCGGTCGAAAGCAAAAATAAGTATAGCATACAAGTTTGTTGCATATGTGGGCTTGAGTACGCTGGCTTGAAGAATATTCATTACAGACAAACCGGAGCTAAAAGCATCGTAAATTAGGCAAAAATGACGTCTCTACAAATGGACGAGTTCAATAAGTAGGTCTAAAAGAAAGAGAGAACATGACTGCCATCATAGATTTCACCGTTCATACAAGTAAAATTCTATGTACAAAAATTATGTGAACTTTTGGCTCATATTTGGCCAAATACCCTGTTTGAGTGTGGCTTCAAGCGAAATCATAGGTTTTTTCATGTATTTCAGTAACACGCGTGTCAGTTGCACATGCGTATGCAAATTTTTCACGCTCAGACTCAACGGCCGATCATGAAGGCTTATGAAATGCACCTGAAGATCGGAAAATCACCAATATAGGGGGACCAGCTCAGTCAATGCGGGATGAAAATTAGGAGCATTGAGGTTCTGTTCTGTGACATGTGTCGACCCTGCTAGAAATGCCGGATTTGCATTACACTGAAACACATGTGCTTAAGGAAGTAGGCTGTGGGATTGAAGACTGATGGAAAATATCAAAGGAGTGAAGCAATACTCACGGGGTGGAGGGAGGTATATGAAATTCAAAAATCTGCCCCAGCGCCTGTATAGTAATAAGTTTAAAAGAATATGCTATCTAGTCTGGTTGATGGGGCCAGAAGGAGACGATGGGGATTGTGGTGGAGAGGATGATGATGATGATGATGATGATGATGATGATGATGATGATGATGATGATGATGATGATGATGATGATGATGATGATGATGATGATGATGATGATGATGATAAGGAAATGATAGGAGAAGAGGAAAGGAAGGGAGAGGATTGTCATTGGTCGACTTGAGTGGGGTAGAATGCGTCTAGGCCGATTCAGAGTCAGTTATTTGCATATGCCTCAGATGTTTTGTCGACTCAGGGCCACTAGAAGGACTAACGCAGAGCACTCTGCCCTCGGGCTCGTGAGAGGATAGGTTGTAATGGGTTGTGCTGAAGGGTGGAGAGGGCTGATCGAAGCCCAGGTCGGTGCAAGCGCTGGACTCGACGGAACACTGCTGGAAGCCGGGACGTATACCCTTGAGCCCCCCGCTACTTCCGCTCCCGGTACTCTGTTGCGGGCCCC